TTTTAACCTTGCAGTTTCATACAGCCAGATTTCGGGATGGAGGTCTAAAAACCTACTTTAGGAAATGGAAGGCTGGTGAGGATTTTTTTTTTCCTTTAGTATAATCACTTACAAGATGTTTCTCTGTCTAAAATAAGTATCAGATACATTAGAAATATGCTAATATTATTTAAAGCAAGGACGTTATATACTGAGGCAGCTGAACAACAAAACTTCCTTATTTTCCAGATGCAGCGTTAGTGTTTATGTAGCAAACACTTAGTTCAGGCTGATGCAGTGCTTTAGTACGAGCTTCTGTACTCTAAAAACTTCACAACTTTTTTTTTTTTTAATTTTACCTTATGTAAATGACGTAATACTGTAATAACATGAGCAGTGGTTTTGGTACTGACACAAGTCAGTAGACAACACATGAGGTTAGATGGCCTTTATTTATATTTCTCTAAACACTCTATTCAGTAAAACAGGCTCATTCATTTCAAATTTTGTATTTGTAGAGATTGCAGGCCTACAGCGCTGACGCAGTCCTCACAGTGTCCTCTGTGACCATCCCTCCCCCGGGCGACAGGACCAATACGCCCGGACCACTAGCGCTGGATGTCCCAACCAAAGAAGTGCTGTGTGTTTTATACGGAATAAACTGGCGTCTCCTGCCACCCCTGCCATGAATTCCAGACTCTCCGAAGCTTGATCGCTGCAGGCTGCGTAAGCCACACCGGTGCCAAACATCTGGATCCCACAAACAAGCGTTTAAAATGCCTTCCCCAGCGTTGGGAAGATGTGAGGGGTGCGCTGGCCAGGGGTGGAGGGCAGGGTTGCGGTGTGCCAAACCTTCCCGGGCGTCGTTAGCGGCTGCGTCTCTCGGCCGTGTCGGTGGATGCAGGCGTTCAGCCGGCGCTGCTGCAGCACCGCGGTCACATCCCGCTGGATGGAAGAGGTCTGCGTTAACCTCAGAGCGAACTTCTGTGCAAGCGACAACGTGGACTTCAAATCACACCCAGTTTTTCACACGGGCGAAAAGGGCAACTACTAACTTTACCGAATACTGGCTGGGTACCGTGCTTAGGCCAGGCCAGCCACTAGACGGAGCTAAGATCTCACCTAACCGGGCTGGTACCTAGACTGGGGATGGCCGGAGGAGCTGCAAACGGTGAAGGTTACAGCCCTTTCCTTACACGAACGAACAGCCGTTCTAAAACCCCACTAGTATAGAATCAGAATGATAAACTAAAGGGTAGTCTCTAATCAGAATGAAAAGCTAAATGGCAGTATCTTTAAATCACACTATGTGAGTTAAACTGTTAGCTGGGAAGAGCCCAGATTCTCTTAAGAACTGACCAGGTGACTAACTACAAGGTACATTTTTTCATATTGGACCGTATGAAAGATGCTCTTTGGCAACCACTTAATGTATCAGTTTTCTGCCACGTGATGCTCTTGCTTGATGCACAGATGTCACCAATGGAGCTACTCGGACTTAAGCAACAAAACACTTCCGTGCACACGTACGGCGAGAGGGAGCTCTCGGGTGTGTGCAAGCCACTTTAACCAAAACGCATTTCCCTTTTTTTGGCGAGGTGCCCAGGCAGGAAAGCAGGACGGAGGATGGCGTGCGGGAAGTATTGCCTTGCCGAGACCCTAACGCGTTCTGCCACACCGCTCGAGCGTACCTAGGGATATTTCCGGCTACAGTGCCTGGCAACCCTTTCCAGATGTAGGATATATTATTAAGGCAGCGGAGGATCAGATCCTGGATTGTTTAGGTTGTGTAGGCAATATATACATTACTTAGTCTTGTCATCCAACAGCTGTATGTATCACGACAGAATTTGGCACAAATCAGCATGACTGGAAAGTTGCAGATGTCTAGCTCTGGATTAAAAACTTGTTAGAAGACTTCTAGCCGGGAGGGCAGGCAGGCACTGCGCATGTATGTGGAAGACTGCACAAAGCCTCTCATCTCCATTAGTCCTTCATCTTTAAACCTAAAGTAGCTGTAACTAGGTTTTTTAAGTAATAAAACCAAAAGTCAACAACCTTACCAGAGATCGTTGGCATGAGTGTCTTTGGCCAGGAAAGGGCTACTAGAAAGGTGGGAGTGTTGCAGAGCAAACTGAAGGTGCTAAAACAAGTGTTGTTGGAACTGCAGACCCTTGAAGGTTGGAATAGGGCTGATTCGGTGACTGACTGGATGGGCCTCTCAGTGACAGAGTAAACGAATCCTGGAATAAATACCCAGACAAGGCTGCAAAACAGTTCTGTATTGCATTGCACTACGTATCGTCCTAAATCCTGTCAGCGTGGCTTACTTCCAGGGCGAGCCACCCTCCCACTGCTTCCTCACGGCTGCTTCGGGAGTCTGTGACTGCCTACCACTCCTGCCACCTCATTTTCCTGTCTGGCTCGAGTGCTGGAGCAACCCACAAGCGAGCGGTGCTCAGGAGAAGGTTGGGCATCCCTCAGCAGTGCTCGCTGACCTGGAGAACGTGAGCTGCCGGAGGCTTAGTGGCAGCCATGAGCTCTTCGCTCAAGTGGCGTTCGTCTCTAATGGGTTTTTTGGAGCTGACCGTGGTTCCAGTTCCAACTTCTCAAGTGCCTGTGAAGGACTAGTAGTGATGGCTCTGCTGTCCCTCGGCTTTAGGGTTCTGTAGGGTGCTGGGTCTAATTCTTCCTTTCCCTGAGCAGCTGTTTTGACAAACATCCAGGCTGTGTCCTACGAAGAAAAGCCAGTACAACGGAAACATCATCTGTGAAGGAGAAAGGAAAGGCAAACGCAACACGCACCGTGAGCTCTGCCTGCAGCACGGTTTCGATACTGCTGCCGTAGCATTATGAGTACATGATTAAGCACTCCCATGAAAATATCACACAAGGTTTTCATTTCACAGCGTTCTGACCTCAAATACCTTTTCAAAATAAAACAACCGAAGCGCCCTGCGATTATTAACATTTCCTGCTAGCTGCTCCATTTAACTTCGAAGTTGCATTTAAAATTCACCGAATGCACTGTTCAAAGGATTTAGAAAGTCCAAAACCTTCTGTCCTCCGGGGAAGGCCCAGCGCAGGCTGGGTGCCTGCTGGTTTCAGAGGATGCTGGACACTTTCATACTTCTGCTTTTCACTTGTCTGTTCCTCAGAGTCAAGGGGCTCTACCCCGAGCCTGGGACGAGAAGAGGCTGCTAAAGGATGTGTATACAATGTGAATAGCGCTGCTCATAGCAACAGATCCAATGAAAAGCTGTGATTATCTCCAAACAAACTAAAGGAGGGAAGTTTGTTGGGGAAGAGATAACCTAGGAAGGAAAAGGAAAAGGCTAAGATGGGAATTCCTTTGCCAGCGGAGAGCAGAATTTGTGCTCTTTCATTTTTGTCTTGAGAGGCATCACACCCGCTTAGCACAACCACAACACATCACCATATTTTAGGGACCGGCAAGCCACTTGCCCAGAAAGGGCTATAGGCGGGTGATGAGATACAGGTAGCTTTTAAACTAACTAATATTGTATCTTTCTCCAAGAAACAAAGTTAGTTAATGCATTATATCCCTGATTCACCTCAGGAGCCAAATACTGACGACCTCCATCACCTTGAAGACAAGAGCCTTCAGCAGATCCCCCAGGACGACGTTTTGAGGGGAGGGAATCCCACGGAATATTGTAAGACACGATACAGGTAAGCAAGCCACCCAAAACATGAACCTCCAACTCAGGCCCTGGCTCTGTTCCTCCAACAGCCGTTATTACCCTGTCGCTCTGCTGCTGCTGCCTCTCGATCATGAAGCAGCCAGCTGAGTTAGCAGATGTAGAGCGAACTCAGACTGTCATTGTTTGAACTTACAGTAGTCACAGATTCCAAAAGACAATTAAATACTGAAAGTGGGATCTAAACATATTTTTATCTAGCTTTACCAGAAGCTTTCATCTCTACAGTGCAATGACACTGCCTGGCATTTATACATTATACCAAAAACCAGTTCTAAAGTGGTATTCCCCTGGATTAACACCACAAATGAATCTGCAGTGGTACAAGGAAGTCTTTAATAGGCTTGACTTCCATCTAGGTAGCGCTAAGGAATGCCCTGTTTTGATTAGTTTTCCAAACAGTCACTAACGAAATTGATTTTATCTTGCATTACTTTCTTTACATGCCTATGAAAAGTCCATGCCAAAAAAATAACCTAAGGGTGAGTCTCGGTAAATGACAGACATTCTTCTATCAGAGCACAGCTATGTTTTGATATAGAAGGTGTCGGACCTCCACGTATTTTGCTGAAGTTTAACATTAGTTGGGTTGAATACACTATGGCATAGAAGAAATGTTATTAGAGTAATGCACAGACCGAATAAACATGTGGCTTCAGGTAATTCAGTACCTATACCTAATCACATGCTTGGCGGGGATTTATTTAAGGGGAGGGGGCGAGGTTAAACAAAGCAAGAGAGCCAGTTCTGTGGTAGCAAGGTAATAGTTGGCTCCCCTTCCTCCTTCATATCCATAACAGGCCAATAATCGCAAACCTTTTCCTATACAACCTTATCACTGCAGATTACAAAAGAAAAGCGATGAGAAGCATGAGAGCATCGGTCTGAAGAGTCACACCTACGAGTGAACAGCAGCATCATTCCTATCACTTGCTATTAAGCGGCAGCACTGCCCTGACCCTGCTGTCCATCTGAACGAACCTTTGACTATTAGAAATGAAAGGTAAGGAATCAAATGAAAAGTCTACACGGGATTTGTAAAGAAAATTCTGAAATGGAAGATTACACTTAGTTTCTAAGGAGCAGCAAGGTCACAGGAGACAGGTACATGTGAACAAACTTAATTCTTATAATCACTCAGACTGTATTGTATTGCTCCTTTTGTTAAGCAAAGAACAAAGACCAGAGCGATCTGTTCCTTTTGTGTAGAATCCTAATTGTATTTCCTAGAGCTTTCTACTACGTTTAAAGTGTAAGAGTTTGGTTTAAGTTCAGAGTGAGGCAGAGAACCACTGGTAATTACTGTTCTTCTGTTTTGCTGCTATTCCTGAACTTCACCACCATCACTGTTATGTTATCAGGACATCCTCTGTAAAAGGACTGTAGAACTATACTCTTTGCGCCGAAGTGTGGTTCATCCAAGCGTTCCTTGATGAATCGGACAGCTTCCTCGTTGCTGAAAGCATCCCACAGACCATCCGACGCCAAGATCATGAACTCTGGCTGCAGTTTGTCCAGGTCAAAGGTAAGAATATCGGGGTCGGGAATGACAACATTCAGGTTCTTCAGAGGGTAATCTCCTAACGAGCGGGACATGGCCAGGATCCCCTGAACACGCCAGGAGCCATTGAAGCTGATAAAACCACCTGGAGAGAAACACCAACACTTAAAGCAGTTCTTTTTACAGTTAAAGCATTTCTCTAGCTTCCTGCCAGACCCACCCAAAAAGTCATCCTGCAGTATCCCGAGGTATACAGCTGTCACGTATCTCAAAAAGCAGGAGATGCCTTAAATAAAGCTCGGAGCGCTGCAGGGAAGAGCTGGATTGTGGCTGCTAGTGCCGCAGAGACAGCTGAAGCGGAGAAGTCAGGAATGGCTCTGCTTTCAAACGAAGCAGCTTCGTGCTCTCTGCTCCCCCCGAGAGACCAACAGCTCACTGAACACAGGTATTCCCGTACTACACAACTTACTCTTCAGAGAGCCTTATGGCAATGTTAAAACAAAAACAGTGAAAGCAAATCTTTGTATTCTTGTGTTAGCAAACACCTCCTTTTTCTCTGTATTATTTCACATTCTCCCCATTTCAGAAGATCTATGAAGGAAACGACACTGAAAACACCCTGCAGTAGGACTCACGTCTCACTTCAAGGCATAAAGCAAAGAAGCAAGTGCAAAACCATTTATCGGCTCTGCCATCAAACTGCCTTGAATGAGCCGTGTCAAAAAGGACCAAAGAACTGTTGCAAACAAACCGATCATCCAATTTTACTTCAAGTCGGAAAAATGCAATGTGGGATCTGACTGACTGATTTTTACCATCACCAGGATTGAGGCTCCTTCTAGTTGAAAATATATTATTTTATTTAGGGGTTACTTATAGTGAGATACGTTTTGCACTGAAATCCATGACTCCGACACAGCCAGCCCCTGTCTGATCGTGCCCGGGAGGGGACTACACTATATTCAAGGTCAAAGAGTAAAGCTGAGGCACCTTCAATTCCTGTGCCTGCATCTGCGTGCCACTGTCTGCACCGTTTCACAGCAATATTCCTGTCATCTTAACAGGAATGAAAAGTCACTTGAGGACACAATAATTTGCAAACACGGAACATTAAAATGTATGACAAAATCAGGTGATCTGTTGTCTTTTGTATCTGCAAACTGTCTGCTTTGGTGTTCTTATAAACGTCTTTGTTCTTTGTAGTTATCAGAATTTCAGCTCTGCACTTCAGCCTATACATTATTTGTCAGTCACCTAAATCTTACAGTAGTGTTTCCATTCCTGGTTGGCTGATCTAATCTGTAAATTCCTACTGCTACATTTTATTTAATGATTCATTGTTTTTTAAAGCTTGAGAGTTGATTTGTGCTAAAACCAGCAGGAACCAAACTTTTTAGCTGGCTGTTTTCACGAATACTTCTGCGGAGTCTCCATGATGAAGAATGCTTCCATCCATAGTCAAAAAAAGGAAGGACTCGTGAGCCTACTGCAACTCCTCTTAAGATATGCAGTCAAACAAACCTTGTCCAGCTGCTGCTGTAGGTTTTGAGGACGCCTCGGTTGAAGGTTACACAGCCACCTACTCACCAGTCCGGGGTTTTTTCATAAGCGATTAGGACTGTAGTAACTGGAGTGTAATCATGTGGACGTATTGGAATGACAGCGGAAGCAAAACGCAATTAAGAAGAGGCAGTTTTAAGTAGACATTTTACACACAATTAGAGGACAGCAATGCTCGCACCCGTTACTGTACTTGCAGAGGAGATGATAGCCGATGCCGCCGACTCGCTGAGCGTGCTTACTCCAGCCTTTGCAGGTTGTGCTTACGCTTACAAAGTGACTTTTCGGTGCCATTCTCACGTGGCACCTGGAACTGCCTACGGCACAAGTTGAATTCCTGTGGTTTGCTGAAGTGTCTGTTGGCACTTCTAATATTTTCTTTTGTAAAGCCATCCGTACAGAATACATAAAATGCTCACGGAAAAGCAAACATTCTGCAGCGCTGGCTGCCACTGGAGAAGAAAAGGCATTAAAGAAATAAAAGCTTTTTGGCAACCGCACAAACATTTTGCATGTTAGTGAGAGCTGAGCTCAGAGGATTATGTTCAAGGTGAATGACTTAAATGTCTATCAGTGACAGTCACCTTGTGGCTTTACAACCAAGTGTTTCTTCACAAGCCAAAACCACGGTTGTTTCAAGGCCACTGTCTTACACCGATGCTATATACACTGCTCAAGCTCCTGATCAGAAGGAGATTCCTTGTGTTTTCCGGGAAAACCAACATCCTTGTACTGCAGGACACGCAATTCCCTTTCCCACAGGAATGGGTCAGAGTGGTGGGACCTCGATATCATTCAGTTGCGAGACCAGCAGCACCACAGCATTTACATCGTGAGTGTGCACCAGCCAGCCTCTTGTGAAAATAACAGTCGGTCGTGACCAGACCCCTGTAACCAGTGCTGCTCCCTGCACAGCCACGCTGCGGAGTGGGTAATTCCACAGAATGCGGTACCTCGGCCCTGCCCTGTTCCCTTCCCTGCTGCCTTTCCCTTCGGCGTTGGGCTGCAAGCTGGGGTACCGGTGACCCCTCGCTGCACTGCAGGAACTCCCACGAGAAACCTGAGCGGTGGCTTCTGGGGCTTCAGCGCGAGAGCTGCTCCAGTCACGTCGGGCTGATAAAAGGGAATTTTTTTTCAGGTTGTGAGTTGACTGAGACTTTGTGCGCAGTTGCTGGGAATGGGGAAAAGAGAGGGACTGAATGCATTCCCCATCCACCGACCGCTGATGGCAGCAAGCAGCGAGCCTCCTTAACATCCACCATGGCAGCCAAAAATGACGGATTCGTTTAGACTTGTCATCCCAATGTTAACGCCCCGCTGAAACGCAGAGGGCAAGTCATGCTTTTCTTGCTGCCTCAAATTGATTTATATCAGATTGAGGTTTGAAGGATATTTTCTCAAGCGTGGCTATACAGATTTCACTTTTAAATGAAATCGAATCCTAGTAACACAAATGTGCAGCCATTTTACAGCTACCTATAGGGGACTGGACAGTGCGGCCTGATGGTGCAACGGAAAGTTGGAAAACTGAAATGTAACATAATGATTGTCGCTTTCTTCAGTTCTACAAGACAAGAAAGTATCTAGATGGTGGGAAAAAGTCAGGTACTTTTGCAAGGTAGGCTCGATTAATTCAGTGTGGGCACTTTGCTTCAATTTTACACTTAATGTATGTAAAGAAGGGATGTTCCAAAATGTAAAAGTTCCTGGCAGCAGTATAAACCGGGTTGTATGTTTTTAACAGCGCTATGAGGCCGTATCAATCATGATAATACAATGAGGCAATAGGTAACCGAGAAGTGAATTCCTTAAGTCACTAGGCTAGATAGAATATTTCTTGTTTAGCTGCACATAGATACAACATTTACCAGTCTATTAAAATAATTTTTTCCCAAGTTGGAAATTCCTGCAAAAATCCAGGTTAATTTTACATGTTGCTGTGTTATAAAGCCTCACTTCCAGACAAATGAAATAATCAAATTATTTTTTTCTCCTCAGTGAAGGCCTTCTCTAAGCGAACGATTGCATGGAGGCCCTGGACTTGGCTAAAAGGGAAGCAATTTTACAGACAAATCTCCAGACTTTATGAATACATCCCCCAAGTACAGAGTTGAAGCAAAGTGAGACCAAGATTTTCCTGCTCCTTCTTCTTAGCATCTGTATATTTCTTCTTCCCCTTTGGGGAACGTACGGGACCTTGGCTCACTGTCTAGCAGCACGAAGGATCCCCACTGCTCCTCGGGGATAACAGCAAACTGAGAGGAAAGCACACATTGCATTTATGCTGGTGTGAGCGCATTGATAACCTGTAGGTTTTAAAAATGTTTTATACTTGGGGAAAAACTTGTTATTTCCACTTTACAGATGAAGACGTGGAGGCAGAGAGGCAATGCATCTCTGGAGGCAATACTCGTCAGTAGGTTTAACACAAACGAGAACTTTTTTCCTTCATCAAATCATTTGCTGCTGCAGGCTGCTGTGGGAGCCAAAGCAGAAACAGGTTCAAAAGAGACTTTGACAAATTCATGGAGAATTGGCTATTAAACTTGATGATCCAAATGTAACTTCTAGCCCAGGAGGTCACTAAACTGACATGTGATGAAAGCGAGAAAGATTTATTGCGGAAAGTTTTCTGTTTCTTATATTATTTCCTATACTCCTGCTACAATTTACATGTTTATGCTCATTAGCAGTCACTATATGGGAACAAAGAAACAACTCTGATGAATTAGATTCATGCTCTGCTTATTTTAAGAACTAAACCTCACTCGGCTTCAGACCCAGCCTCTTGCATAAAGGCTGCTGATACAGTTTGGTGTGAACAAGCCTGTAAAGCTGCTGCTCCTGTTTATGAATTTGCTTCCTGCAGAGATCACAAGGGAACTGGCCGGGATGGTCCACTGCCTGTTGAAGATGAAGGCTGCGCTTCTTACTCTGACGCTGCTCATTAAGGGACAGGTCAATCTGCCTCCATTTCTGTCTGCACCATCACATCCCACTGAAAAGTGCTGTATTAATAATGGAAGATTTTATCTGCTGATGCCTCAGTCTGGTACTTTTCAGTCTCTCTCAGGGGAAAAGTCTATATTATTGAGAGAAGAAAAAACATGAACCTTCAATCCAAAGCAAAATGGTTACGACTCACCAGCTCTTTTAATCCTCTTCCTCTCTTTCAGTTGGTAGGGCTTGTGATCGTGTGACAAGGGGATAGCATTCCCATCCTTGTCACACAAGACTCCTCGCGAATCACCAACGTTGGCCACCGTGAGTTCTTTATCTGACAACAGTGCGATCAAACAGGTTGTACCTGGAAAAAACAGAAGGGAATGGGAAGCAAAACAAATATATGGGGTGTGTATGTGTGTGTGTGTGTGTATATATATATATTTAAAAAAAGATTAGCAGAAAAATGTTCTTCGTATTAATGACGGCAGAGAGGGGCTGAAGTGGGAGGAGTGTATTCCAGTCTTTGTCTGAGAGCCGGCTTTTCCTAATGGCCAAGGAAAGTAATGAGAGAGAAGTACAAATTAGCCCCCGAGCCCACTCGTGGCTTCTGTGACCTGAAACTACTGCACTGGACCGTGCATGGGTAAAACAGAGCTCTCTCCTCAACCTCTCAAGAACTGAGGTCAGGTTTTTTACACTTTTTATTGAAAAGAGGAAAAGGTTTGACATTTTTAATTACTCCAACCTTTAAATACACAGAAAATGTAATTAGTCATTGACCACTAGAGCTTGTTGGCTAAGGTGGCAGGAAGCTATTGGAAAAATTGACTGGTTTTCAAGTGAGAACACTGTCGCTTTTATTTTCCTCATTTAAGTGGAATAAGTGTTGAGCAAAGCCGAGCCCACTAAGACCGTGCCTTTTCTCTATTTTCCCCTTCTAGCTAGTGTGAGCTGTGTTCATAAAAACTCCAGCTATTACAAATATTCCTTGCACAGGCTTTGGACCAGATGTCACAATTTCATTCATATTTTAGAACAGAAAGATGGCAAGTAAGTTTTTAGATATACACTAACAAAATTAAAAGGGAACGTGCATGGCACTCAGTTTAGATTACACGGCGCTGCTAACATTTTTACAAAAGGCGCTCTAGTATCCTTCAACAGTAAATAAAATTAACTTAATGGCTGCTTTCTTTTCCTTTTAGGTAGACCAGAGAAGCCCATGGCTGAGTTTTCACCTCTGTTGTTAATTTACATCTGATTGTGAAAAACAAAGCTGCATCCACAGCTGGGGTGCTCTGGAAGAAGCACTTGGGCCCAGCCTGCCTGACGAAGGGTCCCAGCGATGAAACTCAACCACCAGCAGTGTTACAAAGCAACACGTCTCCGCTTGGACGTTTTAATCAGACAAAGACTCAGTATTAATGAAAATGCACTGGCAATGGGGCATTCCAGCGCTGCCTACCGTCAGCAGCATCATGACCCCTGGTTTTGCTCCCGGGGAGCTATCTTAGGGTTTGAGTCCGTGCTCTGTGGTCTTAAAGTTCAATTCTCATAGCTGCTGCTTGTTGCATCACTCCCCAAACCCGAGTTAAAAACTATGTTTTGCTGTTCCCATGTCAATAGTTCAATATCCCATGACTGGTATAAATAAAATAGCCAGTAATAAACAATTTGTGTTTAGACGCTCTGTGTTCTGAAGATTTATTTTTAACTTTAACTCGCACAGCTCTAAACTTGAGCTATTTTTTCACAAGACCAGTATATACATATATATATATTTTTTTTTTGCAGTTGACGGACACATTGCAGACCTAAATGGATATAGTTTCCCATTTGTTGCTAAACTTACCTGCACAACTTAATGGCTCACTGAACAACAGGACAAGCAGAGAAACCCATCCACCAGGATCCCCAGCAAAATGAGCTGCCTGCTCCAGAAATCTCTCCCCTGAAGGCTAAAGGAGATTGCACCGAAGGGTGTGAAGGCGGCCGTGCTGGAAGGGGCACCTGCCAGCTGGATGCCCGCTCTGTTCGGATGCAGGGCACCTGGCTTTAGCACCCTGGTGAATAGACCTGCTCCAACGCCAGAGGACTTGGTAATTAAAATACCAGTATCCAAACCACAAAGACAACAAAATAATAACGAGGGTACAAACTACGGTAGTGGGGTGCAGCTGGTCACTTAAGCAGAACAAAGTGGGATTTAGCATTTGAGGTCACCTCATTCTCTATCTGAACAAAACCTATTAACTCCGCAAATGCATAAAGCTCTGCTTCAGTAAGAAAATTACAGCACTAAACAGCACCCTCCCTTGCTTTTATTTATGAAACTTGGCTTACCAAACATTCAAGCAGCATCCTGCTGACAATCTGCAAGAGACTAGAGGGCTGGTACCTGCTGAAGCTGCTCTGACATTTCGTCTAAATTTCCGAGAGAAAAAGAACAGCCACCTTTGCAATTTGGGCTGAAAACAAAACCTAGGAGATGTAAAATGGGGGCAAAAGTGAGAGCTGTGTCGGAGGGGAACACAGAGCCAAAAACAACTCCCGAAGGACGCCGGCGTGCTGCAGGACAGAGACCCAGGAGCTGCACACGAGGCTGCAAACCTCTGCGATCCAGCACCCAACTGATGCTTCTTTCTGAAGATCAGGGCTCCGGCTCTACCTGTAGCTGCCGACTTGGCCTAACATTTGCACTTGTAAATTCATCAGCTCCCCTGTGTGCAAGACCACCCCACTGCTCCGCAGATTGCCTTCCACCCTTCCCGTGACACCAGTGCAGCGTGTATTTTTCCTACAGGCAGTAGTAAAAATCATACATTTCCTAGTAAGGAAAATACTGCAAATAACATCCTACAGCCCAGGCGTTTAGAAAGTAAGATGCTTCACAAATACAGTCATTATTACCACAATTTATATAAAAATGATGACTTTGAACACCGTCATCTTGGTTATGTGATCTATGTGAATGAAAGAGAACGAGTGTCTGAAACAGAAGATAATTTCCGAAGTGATTTAGGAAGGATCAGTTGTTTTACGGTCCCTGACTGATGGCTGGGCTGTCGTTAAGTCCCTGACCTCACGCTACTGCCAGCCATTACATGAAAAAGCAAACTTGTTTTACTTTGTTTCCTTTTCCATCTATATTTATTTCAGTCATTTAACCTTGTGTAGAGTTGGAAAACACTGTGCTCTAGTCAGCCGCCTCAGATTTAATGCAATTGCACAATGGAAAATTCCCAACATAAAGGGTCCAAAATTGAGAACACATGTTGTATTAGTCCCTTGATGCAGCTGCCTGAATAATACCCTGCTGAGCAGTTTACAAAGAAAATCACTAGAAAATTTAAAACCTGTACTATACTGGCTGCAGAGATAGGGGGGTTTTTTTGTTTGGTGGGTTTATTTTTTAAAGTCGGGTAAGATTATTGGTGTTGTATTTTAGTATCAGACGAGGCACCTTGTAAAAGTCAAGGCTGCGCCAGCTCTACCAGTTTTTAGATAACCGCTTTATCGAAAGGAGGAAAAGTCACCAGAGTGCAAACAAGACCTGACGCATACAATAAAAGGCACTGGAGAGCCCAGGCATGATCCAGCTCACCCTGCAGCCGCTGGAGATCTTGTGCTTTGTGTGTGGCGTCCAAAAATCCTGCTGATGCCTGGCTCTAAATCTCCACTGGTGGGGCAGCTCGGGATAAGGACCAGAACTCTGGGGCTCCGGATTGCTCAAGTTGGTTGAAATTCCCCCAGTGCCCTCATTTCATCCTCATCCGTTAGCAAAAGTGCAGTTAATCTCACCAGGTGCTCATGACGTCGCTTCTTTTCTCCCTCTTTGCTGAGTTTTCCTTCTGTTTTCCAAGTCTCTCGTGCCCCACAGCTTTCAGGCCACCAGCACATGTAACCTCTTTTCCTTCCTCTTCCCCCTCATCGCTCTCTTCATCCTTGAATTTTTGCCCATCCCTCCTTCATGAGAAATGGCACCTCCACCCTGCCCGTATCTCAGGCTTTTAAATGGCAAAAGTCCCTGGCCAAGGCTCTTCCTCCTGAACAACTGTCCTTCCCACACCTGCCTCTCACTGCTTTTCCCAGTCCTCCCCCACCTTTTCTGCGGCTCTTTGAACAGACTCTCTTTCTCAGACAAAACTGAGAAACGAGACTTCCCCCTCCTACCTTTGAATGACTGCTTCTCCATTTGCACAACACGTGCCGAGGCGGCTCGTGTGCTGCCTCCCATCCACCCGTCTTCCTACTCCAGCGACTCGATTTTAACATTTTTTATTCGTTATCACCTCATCCCTGTGCTTCTCTGGCTCGTTTCTTTTGCAGCACATCTTCCTAACGCCTCTCTAAAACCCCATCCTTACCCTTGATGATTTTTACAGCTACCGCTGCTTTCCTCTCTCACCTGGAAGCTCACTGAAGATGCCTTTTGCAGGCACTGCCTGAGGTTTTCCTTCCCTCCAGCTCCATGCTACAGCTCCTCCAACGCAGCCTCTGCCCCAGCCTTGCCATCTGAACCGGCTTCTGCCGAGACCGTCACAGCCTTTTCCAGCCGCAGCGCTGACAACGACTTTCTCTCGTCCCTCGCACTGCCTCCAGCCCAGCCAGCCCAGCGCTCCTTCTAGAGACACACTTCTCTCCTAGTCCGCCCCTTTGCTCCTTGAATTGCAAGCCTCTCTGAAGACCCCTTCGTCCCTCTCCTCTCTCAAGCTCAGCCCCTGACCTGCCTGCCCCATCCCTCCGTAGGCTTGCTTCTGCATAGCCCCGTCTGCAAGCGCACACGTGGCCAACGTTTCCATGCAGACCTCCGCACCTGCTTCTCCCTCCCAGAGGGGTCCCTTCTCTCAGCTAAAAGGTCAGCCTGTTTTCTTTGCAGGTATTTATCCCAACACCTTCACTGACCATCTCCCGCCGTCTGGTGTGGATGGGATGACCTCAGAAACAGAGACCATCATCATTATCTTCACAGAGACCGACACTGTCCTCTTAACGTTTGGCCTAAAAGCATTAAACCCCAGAGGGCTAAAAGCTACATTAATTCCTGCACAGGTTGGGCTTGTGACAGCTCGTCTGTATTAAACAGAAGTCTATGCAATAGGAAATTAGTCTAATCTCACCTCTGGAAACAAAGCAAAGTGACAAGAGAAAGAAAAAACCCAAATGTAATCAATAATAATTTTTAGAGAGAGATGGAGAGACGTGCAAAGAGATGAGAACATGACAAGGGAGTGCCTGGAGGTGCACAAAGCTTCACAGGGGAAGGACGGGCAGCCTTTGAGCTGGGCTGCAGCAGGAGGAGGTGGGCTGCACTGGCTGGGACCACTGTGAAGCCACAGGGAAAAAGATCCCCAGTAACCT